GTTTATATCTACTCATGGCTCATTTCATCCATTTTAACATTGAATTTATTGATTACAGTATCAAAGGATACGTTTTTTTATATTCTTATGACAATACTCTTGAGTATATCTTACAAGGTTGGAATTCAGTCCTCTTCTTGAATAAATCATGTTCGATTTAAAAAAAACACTTTAATTATACCACTTGACATACAGTATAAAGCAGATGTGTTTGTTTGCTGATAGATTTTTGAAAAGAGGAATTGAACATTTGGATTTGTCAATATTTACACTGTACTGCCCAAGAGGGACAAATATAAGCAGGGAAAATGCATCACGTTTGAAAAGGAATGGACTCTTGGAAAGAAACAGATCTGGATTTTGAACCCCAGTTCTATCCATTCCCATGGTGTATAAGACAAAATCACTGTTAAGTTTCTTACTACTGCTGTAACAAATTACCACAAACATAGTGGTTTAAAACAAATGTATTCTTTCACAGCTCTGGAGGTCAAAGGTCTAAAATCGAGGTGTTTCTAAGGCTATCTTCCTTCTGGAGGTTTCTGCCTGTTCCAGTTTCTAAAGGCTGCTGGCACTTCTTGGCTCGTGGCACTTCTTGGCATATCACAACCACCTCTGCTTCCATTGTTAATCCCTTTTCAGCTTCTGACCTTCCTGTCTCCCTCTCATAAGGACCCTTGTGATTATATTGGATCCACCCAGATAAGCTAGGCTAATCTTCCATCTAAAGATCCTTAATTTAATCATATCTATAAACGCCCTCTTGGCCATATAAAGTGACATCTTTACGCATTACAGGGATAAGGACATGGACATCTTTTGGGGGCCATTATTCAGCCTACCACAATCACTATAGCAGGGAACTCATAACTAACTGGAGAAGACACTCAGCTGATCCACACACTTATTTACTCATATTTAACCTACTTTTTAAAAAACAGTTCATTGTATGGTTGCACATTTGGGCAAGTGCCAGTTCTCTGAACCCTGTGTGTCCTTCACCTGTAAAATGGAACTAATGCCTACTTACATAATAGAGATGTTCTGAGGACTAAATGACATAGTGTATAAAAAGCTGTTTCCACTTCATCATATAAGAGTACTGTGGGCATTGTGCTAAAAAGTGACTCTTGAGGGCAAAAGGAATACACTTAGTACTTTTGTTGCATGTTTGCAGTACACTGAAATTTCATTCTAGTTACATGGAAATTACTTGAATTGCATTCTTGAAGAGAGAGAGATAAATAATGTAAATAATATATGCCATTCTACCTATCATTCCACCCAATGGGCACATGAAAGAGTGACTATAGACTACTTGCTTCTACTCCTTCTGAGTTAGGCTCTATTTTCTCATGCCTCCCATAGCATGAACCTTTTGAGATCAATTGTTTAAATATATGTATTCTTTCAGATATTATTGCAATTAATTCTTCATTAAATGTCTGTTTTTACACTATGAAGTAAACCTGACAAGAATATTAGTTTAAGACAATACCTGGCATGTAGTTGATGTTCAATATATGACACCTATTATTATGCACATAAATATTTGTTTAAAAAACAAGTGCTCACCAATAAACTGGGAACATGTAATTGAGGGAGAACAGCCTAGTGGAATGAACAAATTTCAAAGTCAGATACATCTGAGTTCAAGTCCTTAGTTTTCCATTAGCTGTTTCCTTGGATATTTTCCTTAGCCTCTCTAAACCTCAATCTATCATTTTAAAAATAGAAATTATAATCTGATCTATTTAGATGTGAGGATCACATGAGAAATGTACTTAGATTCCTAGAATAGTTTCTGTCAATAAATGATAATTATTATTACCTAAATAAATATTTTCTTAATTTAAATATATTTAGCAAACAACTTTCTGAATAATAAATATAGGTATTATAGATAGACAAAATAGAATTATTTAAATTCCATCTAATCACCTAGGTTTCTGAAGCATATGAACTTAAAGGACCTATGGCCCATTACAAATTGTTTATTACTAAGTGGATTTTGAGTACTTGTATCGGTCAGGCTATTTAAGGTCACATGCACAATCACTAATGTACCTTCAATAAAGGGGTTTATGAGAATACAAAGAAATACTAGTAGCACTGTTCTTAATGTTAGCAACAGCACAGTCAACCCCTGTTCTAGATCTTCTGAGACTGGGAAATGCAGTAGGATCTAAAGATAAGGGACTCAGTGTCTCTCTATTCAATAACTGTGGCTTGATTGACTCAATTTCTCTGTTTTCACCAAACATTTAATTTGGAAAGTACTCAAGCCACCACAAAGGTGCTTGAGTTTCCTCTTGCTGAGTCATTTAAAAATTATCTCTGATTCACAACAGCCAAGACATGGAAACAACCTAGATGTCCATTGACAGATGAATGGATAAAGAAGAAGTGGCACATATAAACAATGGAATATCACTCAGCCATAAAAAAGAATTAAATAATGCCATTTGCAGCAACATGGATGGACCTAGAGATTATCATACTAAGTGAAGTAAGTCAGACAAAGACAAATATCATATGAAATCACTGACATGTGGAATCTAAAAAAATAATACAAAGGAATTTATTTACAAAACAGAAACAGACTCACAGACACAGAAAACAAACTTATGGTTACCAAAGGGGAAAGCAGGGGCGGGGGGTGGGGGATAAATTAGGAGTTTGGGATTAGCAGATACGAACTACTATATGTAAAATAGATAAACAATAAGGTCCTACTGTATAGCACAGGGAATTATTCACTATCCTGTGATAAACCATAATGAAAAAGAATATGAAAAAGAATGTATATATAAGTATAACTGAACACTTCGCTGTAGAGTAGAAATTAACACAACATTGTAAATCAACTATACTTCAATAAAATAAATTTAAAAAAAGAAAAGGAAAATTACCTCTGGCTCCTGTTCATCCCTGATCCCATCCATACCAGCCAGGAGCAATGCTGACCACAAAATGAAAAAAAAAAAATCTATCTTCAAAATGTGTCTGCATGCTTTCAGAACTTCAATAACTACCTCTGCTGTCCACCCATGCCCTAGCTCTAAACTATGTATAAGCCTCAAGGGCTTTTTTGCCTTTTTCTGCTTAAAGGCATGAGTAGGGACTACTTGCTCCTTTCCTACTTGCCACTGCATGGAAACTTGGGCCTACATTTGTATGTCTCATCATTCCAGCTATGCCTAAAAGTAGCAAGTAAAATGTTGTCTACCTCACAGACCCTATCCTCTGAGCTACACCTCAGTCATCTCTGGCTATTCAAGATTTTCAAAGACCTTCTTCTCAGGAGTGTTCCTAGATATGATCCCATATATAAGCTAACTTGGAAGGAAGATAACTAAGGACAAAGGAATACCGATCAAAACAAAACATACCAAAAAGAAGAAAGCATTATGTAGAGGAGAGAATTATTAAAAGAACATATTTTATAGAATCATAATATGTTTACTCTGGTCCTTGAAATTTCCACAACCTCCCACAGTTACACTTGTATATTCTGACCCTAGGACATACATTCTAGGCAGGCAGTGTCCTAAACTGTGGACTTCGAAGACATGGCCTCCATGGTAATAATTTCCATTTTTCATTTTTAATAATTCTCTTTCAAGAACTTAGTTTTCCATTTATTATAGTCTGGGCTATAATCAATTGTTACCTCTTTTATAGGTCTTTACACTTATGCATTCTTCAATTTTTCATTGTTTTTGGTGTTCAGTTTTGTTTGAGAAGAAATCTAAATGACTTTTGGAACCCATGTGGATACGTGGAAGAAGTGTTTCTAGGCAGAGAGAATGGGAAGTGCAAAGGCTCTGGGGTGGGAGCTCAGCAAGAAGGCTGGTAGAGATGGAGTGAAATGGGTGAAGTGGAGAGAGACAGGAGATTAAGCCAGGAGGAGGATCATGTAGGACTTTTAAAGGCATATTAATCAGACATTTTTTGTGCAGATTTTTAAAAGAGGGTACAAAACCCAGAAAATGTGCAAAATAATCCTTATATTCCCTCCTGTTGAGCAATTTTATCCATTCCAATCTGTCTTTGATTAATGTCAGACTTGACTCCAGAAAAACATGTTGCTTTGAAAAAAGTTTTTCTTGGATTACAAAACATTGAAAAGGTATTTAAATGTTTAAAAAACTGTATCAGTGGGTTTTATTTAATTTCATATAACAGGATATCCAATCCAGGGGGTTTAAGAACAAAAGGAAAATAATTGCTTCATGTATCTAAAAAATCCAGTTTTGGGGTTCTACTGCATCTTGACTGAGGACCAAATGATGTCACCTGGACCCAGATTCTTTCTGTCCGATTCTGTTCACTCATCATGCTCCTTTACTGCCAGATTCCATGCCTTTTCTTTGGAGGTGGCTGCTCTAACTCCAGACTTAGATTGTCTCTCAGTCAAATCCAATGGAAAAGAGGAAGAGATTTTGGGAAGTTCCAGCATCTTACTTATTCTGTCACATACAAATTCCTGAACTCATGGCTACAAATGGCTATAGTCCAGGGGATGAAATACACTTATTTCTTTCAGCGTGGATCACTTTCTTCCCTCTAATAGCGCATCCCTGAACGAATCTCCAAATGGCAGTACTAGAAACAGGGTGAATTGGTGTTGAATAGCAAGCAAACACAACCAAGGAAATATCCATTCATTTGTCTACCCCATCTTCCCATTCAATCACCTTCAAAAATATCTCTGCCTCCGTAATAAACCTATGCTATGTCCCAATGAAAACACACTCTCCTCTACCTTCCCAAAGCAATAACACTTAAAGTCCCATTCATTTACAGATACAGCTCAAAGCCCAAAATATCTGTTTAGTGCACAGTCATCTCAGTCAGACTTCTCTCTAACTCCTCTTGGCCTAGAAAACTAATGCTAAATAGTAAGTTTAATGAATCCCCAAACATCTAAAACACACTTTTTTTCCTAGGCTGCCATTGGGGAAGGAAAACAACACAGTTTCTGGTATATAACTTACATTGTATCTTATGTGAAGTATAAGGCAAGGACCCCTCAGTCTAGAAGTGAAATGCAGTTCCTTTGTCAACGAGTCTGGCTGTTCTAGATCTGCTCTCTGGAAGGATCTTTCTTCCACTGTTGAGGAGAAAATGGTTAATCACAGGTCAATAAACCACTTCTTCCCTAGTGGAGACAACAGGAAAGAATGACTTCCACCACATCTCCTTGCACACAGGGATTCCCTACCTACAAAATGTTTTAGTAGGATATTTCTGACCCATCTGTTTTTCTTATTGTAGGCAAACCTGAAATTTATGGATTCTTACCTATACTTGGTGTTTGCTTATATCTTTTCATATAAAGGTTGGTGTAAAGTAAGATCTATGATTTATACGAGATTGCTTTGACAATCCAATCTATTGAGTTAACACGATTGTTTTCCATGACCACATCTGAGATGCCTCTTGTAATTCTTTATCAGTGTACTTTAACTTCAGGTTCTGGAGCCTGAGGACTATTTTAAGGTTTGAGCAACCCTAGCCTCTTGTTTGTAAGGCTTGGGATTTCTCTAATAATAAAATTTATTTAAACTCTTGATATACTTTCAATCTATTTCCATTCACTCTATATCAAGGGATAGAGATATCAAGAAGAGTCGATCTTTAAATCTGGAAATCATCCTTGGATTTTCTGTCTTCTAAAGGATTGCCAAACTGTCAGAAGCTAGGAGGAAGTTATGAAACAGATTTTCTTTTAGTGCTTCCAGAGGAATCAACCTTGCCAACAGCTTGATTTCAAACTTCTAGTCTCTGGAACTGTGAGACAATACATTTCTGTTGTTTTAACCATCCAAGTTTCTGTATGTTGTTACAGCAGCCCCAGGAACCTAATACAGCCACAATGCACCGCCAATCTCTTTGGCCCTGAGCTGAATGTCCTTTTCCTTAGTATTTGTGCCTCTGGACTGCATCTTCTCAATAGGAGTAATTTGTCCCTGCCTCGGGCAATGTCGGCTTAAATGGAAGAATGTGAAAAGGACCTGAGATACTAGGTTACAATTTCCTCATCTACCATTCTTGCTAGGTCTCCCACCTCTGCTTTTGCTTCAGTCAATGTTAGTTTGGGGCAGAGACTTTGGCTTGCTAACGCTTGCCAATCCAGCTACTGTAGTAGCAGCTGTCTCAGACTTCAGACTGCAGGTAGAAAGGATCGTTATACTAAAATAATATTCTCTGATCCGCTTGCAGAGAGAACAGATCCACCTTAAAACTTTCTCATTCTTGTTTGACCTTCCTAAAGGCTCTAATAAGTTGAATTTTTCAAAACCAGGTCTCTCACCCTGTTTCCTTACTCAGCACAAGACAGTCAGTTTAACCAGTTGTCTTACACTTAAAACTGCTAACTTCCAAGACTTGGACTGAGTGGCCCACACTGCCCTTCACATGACTTCATGAGCTTGGCTAGACTACATAAAAGGTCTAGTCCCTGTTCAAAAGTTCACACAACCACTCAGATATAGCTCAAGTTGCTTCCACTTTGGTTATCTTTATTGTCTTTTCAGATGCAGTTGGACCAGGTCTCCAACAATATCTCTGTGACCCAATTTCCTACCTCAATGATCTGCCTAACTCTGTCCTGACTCCATTCTTAATAGGACCTCTTTTTATGGTGGGAAGATGGCTGCCACAAATATAAACTTACATTCTCTCTCAGTTTAAGTCAATAAAATGTTAGCAAAATCATGGGTAATTCCATTCGTTTTGGTTTGGTCAAATGCCCATTTCCAAAAGAATCACAGTAGATGGGTCAATACCAAGTGCTGAATGACTTACGTCTGAGTCATATGCTCTGGCTTCCACACCTCCAGAAACACGTGGACTAATAGTGAATGAGGACTAAATTCCCAAATGGCCATTTGTAGAAATGGTGTAATTGAAGCTAACAGTCAGAAAATATGCACTACAAATAATGGAATTAAAATACTTCTATTGATTGGTATTTGAAAAATAATGCGTAAAAGAGAAAATAAAAATCACTACACCAGAGATGAAAATCTACATTTGCAGGTCCATCAAAAGATAAATGAATAAAGACTGTAGTATATGGAATACTACTTAGTAATAAAAAGAAATGAATTAATGATACAGGTAGCAACTGGGATGAATCTCAGAATAATTATTCTGAGTATGTCTTAGTCAGCTTTGGGCTGCTGTAACAAAATGCCACAGACTGGGTGGCTTAAACAATACACATTTATTTCCGACAGTTTTGGAGACTGAGAAGTCCAAGATCGAAGTGTCAGCAGGTTTGGTTCCTGGTGAGAACCCTCTCCCTGGCATGCAGACGGCCACCTTTTTGCTGTGTCTTCATATGGTGGGGGGAGAGAGAGAACTCTGGTCTCTCTTCCTCTTCTTCTAAGGACACTAATCCTATCATGTGGGCCCCACCCTCATGACCTCATCTAAACCTAATTACCTCCCAAAGGCTCCACCTCTAAATACCATCACATTGAGAGTTAGAGCTACAACATATGATTTTGGCATAAACACATTCAGTTCACTGCAGAGTGAAAGAAGTCAGACAAAATGTATGATTCCATTATATAAAACTGTAGAAAAGGTAAACTAATCTATAGAGACAGAAAGCAGATCAGTAGTTTAGGGACAGGGCTAGAAGGCAGGGATGGAACTGGAAAGGTTTCAAAGGGCATGAGGAAATTTTGAGCAGTGATAAATAAGTTCACTATCATAACTGTGGTGATTTTTTCACAGGTGTGTTATTTGTGTCAAAGCTTATACAACTTAAATATTCCACTTTTCATGCATATTTTGGTTATTTGTTGTGGCCCTAAGAATCCTGCTAAGAATATTCTTATAGCTGTCTTTTAGTGCACATTATATGTATTTCATCTATGCAACTCAGAGTGGGAATACTAGGTCATGGATATTTACATACTCTTAAAAAGTTCCCTTGGGCTCCTTTGCTCCTGGCCCCAACCCTGTAGTTCTAGACAGCCGCTATAGATTAGTTGTAACTGTTATGGGATTTCATATAAATGAAATTGTATATAATGTACTCTTGTGTATGGCTTCATCTGCTCAGAGATTCATCTATGTAGTTGTATGTGTCAGTTTTTTTTTTTTGTAATTGCTGAAACATATTCATTGTTGGAATATATTACAACCTTTTTTCCATTTACTTGCTGACGAGCATTTGGCTTGTTTCCAGTTTTGTGTTACTATGAATAAAACTGCTAAGAACATTTGCATTATGGTCAAAGAACATCATCTTTTGGAATTTATTAAGGTTTCCTTTGGAGCCTGATACATAATCTACTCCTGGAAATATTCCATATGTGCTAGGAAATGTGTATTCTCCATGTGTCAAGTAATTCTACATAAATTTAGTAGTTCAAACTTATTATTTAGGAATTTATCTGCCTATTTTTTTTCTCTGCTGCATTCATTAGTTTCTCAGAGGGTTTTAACATATCCAGTTACAATTTATCTATTTCCCTGTACTGTTGTTTGTTGTTGCTTGGTTTATTTTTAGATTGTAACGTTAGGAGACATGTACATTCGTGATGGACATATCTTGTTGTTCTATTGTTCCTTTTACCAGTATACACCACTCATTTTCCCTTATTTTTTTTTCTTGTTTGGCCTTAAATTCTATTTTGTTGTGTATTAAAATTGCTACCCCAGCTTGTTTTAGTTCATATTTACTGGTAGACTTCTTGTCATAGTTTTATTGTTGGACCTTGTATTTATAATTCAATGTAATATATATATATAATTTAATTGAATATAATTAAAATATTTAAAAAAACTATTTTGTTAGGTTTAACCCATTTACATTCACTTTAATTACTGCTACATTAGCCCTTTAGTTTAACACCTTCTTTTGTACTGCACTTTCTATTTATTTGCCCTGTCCTCATTACTACATTTCACTGGATAGTGAATTTACTTCTGATGGATTACAAATCATAAATTTTTAGTGTATAATTAGAGTATCTATTTTTAACCTAAGTCCCATAATCATGTTTATTTACCCTATTGCTGTCTTAAACTTTGTTTTGAGTATTTGAGTAGATACTATACCATTATCAAGATCTCATGTCCCTTTGGACTCTACCTCCCTTCCCTGCTTTAAGCTGGATATATTTTCTTTCTTAGAGTAAACTTATTATCCAGTAGGCATGAGATTTGGAAGAGAGGATGGGAGGAATGAATGCCTGTGGATGTAATGTTCAGTAGACCACTGGACTCACAGGTCGGGGGCATAGAGAAAATCTGGGCTGGATATTTGGAATCACATATAGCTAAAACCATTGCTCCAAGAAGAGGGGGAAGAAAGGATGGAAGAGAGAACACTAGATTTTAAGGTATAAGCAGAGAAAAAGCCTGCAAATGACACTGTAGATCCACCTAAGGAAATGGTGTCATATAAAGGGGCCATTTTAAATGTACACACTATATCTACTGCCCAGGAATTAATTTTACAGATATCGCTATTAGGTGTAGGTGCAATTCTGCTGACAGCCCAGTTATGCTGATTCCACTTCCAAGGGGCAGTCACCTGCCAGAGCCCATCAAAAACAGGACTCTGGTCAGGAGTGGCCTTGCTGTGGTTACAGATCTTTTTTGTGGCCTCTTTCAATTCTATGCAGAATTCTCCCTCAATTCTTAGGAAGAATGGGGGAGAAACTCCATATTCCTCAAATAGATCCTACTACACTGCCTGCAACTTTACAAAGCAAGAGGTTCACTTGAATTAACTGTTGAGATGGCCACCCATCACCCACACTTTAGTAAGGATTAATTTAATCAGACTGTGCTCCTAATATCAGAAACTAAAGCCACAGGAGAAAGAAGGAGTAAAGAAGACTGAGTTTTAACCATGTAAGTCTTTAAGAAAGGGCAAAGTAGAATGGTTTGGTAAGGGGTATTCCGCTCAAGGCAGAAACATGAAGGTAACAGGTTCTTACAGTATATATATGCTACTTAATGGGAAATATGCTACCCATTACTATAGTCACAGAATTCATCAAGAAAAGTATCAAGTCTTCAGAGACTTTTAGGTGTTAATATTTCATCTTATGCTACCTCTTAATGGCAGTGAAGAGAAACAGT